ATGGTTTTATAGTTTACTTAAACTGTGTTGCTATATAGTTTCATGATGGCTTTAATATTATTTATTAATCACAATATTTCAATCCATGTCACCCAGGAAGATCCAAAATATTAAACCTATATGTTAATGCTCAGTAGGCTACTCACCATTCCCAGTTGGGCGATCATATCCACCTTTACTCTTTTCCCACAAGAGACTGGCTCTGTAGTCATGGTACCATGCACAGGTATCCTTTTCAAAGTCACATGAAAGGTTGTCTGTACCTCCAGCTGGGACTTCCCCCTCTTTACAGTATTCAAAGTTGATATCATCCAACATAACATCCAGTTTTTCCAAAAATGAAAGACTGAATAAAAACAGTAGCTGCAAAAAGAAAAAGACCTTTACTCTTCATTTGTTCTGAAAAGTTAGTATTAAATTCATAATCAAAAATTAGAAAGTATTTTTTCACCCTTATAAGAGAAGATTACTGTATTTCTTTGAAGACACCCCCCCACAATCTCTTAGTTATGATTGCAGAGGGTCAGAAATGAAGAAATGGTTCCTTAAACTCTCTGCACTGTTTGTACACTGCTGCTTTTAAGTACAGTAGGAAATTACTGAAAACATGACACTTTCATCTTGCCATAAAAACACGGTTGAAACCCTGATGTCATCTACTGGGTTAAAACAGGTTCCAGTATAGCTGAAAAAACTGACGGATGTTGACATTTTTTACAAGTAGAAAAGACGTCTATTGGGTCCATATGAGAAGAATAGATTAGATTACTAAATTAAAAGAATTAAAGGCATATTTTTTAACAATGGCAACTACTTTGGTCGATATGTCAGAACAAACAGCCATAAAATTAGTATTACTGTAATCTCTCTTTTTAATAACACTTTAGGTCACTGACATTCATGTACATCTAAATTTTGATACATTTGTTGCTTTGATTAATGGAAAGCATCCAGATTTTACCTGGTTGGCCTGTTTGCTTAAGTTCACCTGAAATTATGATGTGTGTTTTAATTTACAAAAGCATCTTCATCATGCTGAGTGCTATGGTTTTGCATTTTTAGTGAAAAAAATGCTTTATTGTTGCCCCAGATGCAGAGGTGTTCCAGAAGAACATGAAACAGTTAAAGATCAGATAAAGATCAATATAATATGAGGGAGGAACTAAAAAGATATTAACCTTAATTAAATGTTTGCTGTTACTTTCTGTGTATTGGTTAAAGTCTACAGGATGCTTTGCTAACCTTGTATCCTCCTGGCTGATTCCCAATTAGCGCTGTGGCATTCTCCCAACCATCTGTTTCACCAGAAATCGTCAGTAAATCTGTTTCAGTGTGGTCTCTGATCACTTTTACTGTAAGAGCTGATCTTGATGGGAGCGATGATGATTCTTGATCATAAATATGGTACCAAAACCTGAAACATATTAACAGACAGATTACATAAAAACAGATAACTGCTGGCATGGGGCATACTGATATGCACTATCAATCAGGAACTCAGCTGTGGGACTCATATATTAATGATTAATTTTTAGTACCTAATCTGGCATCCCAGAGCAGCTCCCTGGTCAACAGAATATTCCAAATTAGCATCTGAAAAAACCCCACCTCCTTCCTTACCATCTATATGCATTACATGACCTGTGGCAATCAGAAAAAAAAAATCCAGTGTTAACAGGCTAAATCTCATAATCAAATGAAAAATGGATCTCAGTAGTTTTTGCATCCACTTTAAAATGTGCCATCAACAATATGACAGGAAGTTATACTAATCACCCCATGCACTTCCTGTGGTATGGTCCTGTCCAGGTATTAAGGTAATGTTTGCCATCTGCCTTCTCCAGGAAAAAGGGGTCTCACTAACATCTTTCCAACCACAGGAGTGATCCTCAAAGTCGCATGAGCCTTTTAGATGATATATCAAATTATGGATTTATCATTGAAAGCTACAAACTAAAAGTGCAAAGAAAAAGTTCTGATGTCAAGCTTTTACATAGCATCTCACGACCAGTGTTTGTAAATTAATGAACAAATTTACTCATGTAAAAAGAAAAATAGTCACTTCAAAGTAGAACAGTAAGTAGAACACATGATCGCTTATATTTGTTTATTTGTGCTTTAATTGTGTTTACATTTCTCACAGACTGCAACAGGTACAAAATAATGATCATGATGTAGTCAAAGAGTTATAAATCTTAACAGATGCACGAGTTACTCAACACATGTTAAACTGGCTGTGTGCATGAGACAAGGACATCACAATTTCTCCAGTAATGTCTGGTAAATTTTAAATAGCTGACACTAAAATATAAATTTAAGCTTCAGCTTAACTTGTGTAGAACGACCACATACCACAAAATTCTTCATCAGAGCCGTCGCCACAATTCTTTGAAATCACAGTTGAGGCCAGCAGGAACACATTCACCAGAATTACTGTTAAATTCCTCATCAGGACGAGACGAGACGATGACTAACAGTACTGTGAAGACAGTTTCATTACAAGAAGATATCAAGGAGACATGTTTATTGGTGCATTTTTATTTATATTACTCTTATTCATACATTTTAAAGCGTCTACAGCAAACATTGCACAATTTGTCAGAGGTTACACAAGTCATGAGTGCTCTCCCTCACTGTTATACCCCTTATTTCCTCAGGATGTACAAAAAATATATTGCAAGCAATTTCAGATTAGAGAAACATACCTGAAAGCAGAGCAAATATTTGTTTCACATCTAAACAAAGATGACAAGAGAAACGTGAGGAGTCCAAATAAAGAGAAACATCTCAACATCATAACCAGGTTACAGTGTAAGTCCAGTATTTCAGTTTGTACCTGAAATACTGGACATCAGCTTTTATTACCACAGCTGAGCTGAGACTGTGAAACCTTATCAAACACCAAAGTCCAGGGTGTGCTCAATGAGCGACACTGCATTTCTATCATTTGCTTGTAAATCATAACTCGTAATGCATGGCTAACTTATATTTTGTAGATTACAAAAGCATTTAATGGCTTGAGAACATGGTTTATGGTCAAGCATTTAAGTGTTTTTTTTCTTTTGGTCTTACTAATGTGTCTCGTTGTTATTAAAATTGATATAAATATACAAAAGTGGAGACCTCTCACTTTTTTTGTGAAGTAAACTTCCTGTTTAAAAGATGTAACGGTCAAGCCTGTTGGGTCTGATCTGACCTTCTAACTGGGTCGGCTCCAGGAAAATCTGGACAAACTAATATAAGGATATAAGGATTGTTTTTTATACTTGGATAGCAATTGAAATAACACACCTTTTACCCTTGTACATCACATGTAATTATTCCCTAATAATGCTCTGCCAGGCCTTTAAAGCAGCCACCATTAGTTGCTGCTTGCTTGTGAGAAGCATGCTCTGTTGGGTTTAGATCACCTGACTGACTTGGTTATTTAAGAACATCTTAAATAACCAACAGCTTTACTTTATCCATTTGTGAAGCTCTGTCCGATCAGTTTTCCAGGATTTGGCTAAATCTGAGCAGAGAGTTCATCCGGATGCTTCTATCATCAATAGCATTAATATCATCAATAAACACCAGTGACCCAGTCCCACTGGTAGCCAAACATGCTGATACCATAACACTGCCTTCACCATGTTTGTCGGATAATTTTTCGGATCGTTAATGTTTTTCTCTTTCTTTGCATTTTTCTTTTCCCATCATCCAAATTTATCTTACTTTCATTTCTCCAAAGTTTTTTTTTTCAGAACTGTGCACTCTATTTTAGATATTTTTGTGTCTAATCTGGGCTTTTTGTGTAAACAATAGTTTGCACCTTGTTGCAAAGCATTTGTGTTTATATTCTTGAAGGTATTTCTTTTGATTTACCCTACAATAATAGTTTTGTTTCTAAATATGTTGAAAAAAGTATAATTTTATTTTTTGCTTAACAAAAGCTCGAGCTTTATTAGTGTAGCAGCTTCATCCAGGCATCATAAAAACATCATCGTGGTAACAAAGGTTCATACTTCAGCACAATGTGCCACCACAAAAAGGAGAATAACCAAAGGGGAAGTGAAAATACAAAATGCAGTGATAGATATTAAGGAAGAACTGGAAACAAAACACAACAAACCAAACAAAAAGAAAAACATCTGAATGCCTACTCCGTAAAGCAGGACATTATGTTACTACACTCAGGATGCACACAGCCCCCCCCCCCTTCCCCCCCCGGATCTGTCATAACATCATGAATTATAGCATCGGTAGCATCATCAGCTTCATTGGGTGAGACACAGGGTAACCCTTCACTTGCACACATTTGCACCTACAGCCAATTTAGAATCACAAGATAAGCTAACATGCCATTGGGTACGTTACTTGTTGGCTTAAAAGCCAGAAAACCTGGAGAGACTCCACGCAGCCTTGCAGTGAACATGCAACCTCTACACAGAAAATTCATTATGAATTTAATATATGTGTACAAATAAATAGAAGCACATTTCCTGCCTTTGCCTCTTCAGAGCAATATTCTTAATTCGTAACAAATATATCACTGAGTGTGATAGTAGACAATCTTGGGCTGTGTAGAATATTGCAGAATGCCTTTATCCTGATAACATTGTTACAGTATTATGGTACTGTAGTACTGTTAGGAACTTTGTGATTCTGACCCTTACTTAATCATAAGGAAGATGTCAAAGGCAACACTATAAATCCTTATGTACTGCATCAAAGCTTGTGAATTACTGTTTCTCTGGATCACTAATGCTGATTCATGAAACATGTTTAGCAAATTGTCTTACACATTTCGTTCTTCCTATGGAGGGGAAGTGAATGGGACAACTTTTTGCCGTGTCTGGAGTCTAACAGAAAGAGTGTGTGTTTGTGTGCTTTTGTGTATGTTGCCCTTCCTTCCTTCCTGTCCACCCACGTACCAGTAGCAAAATGTTGAAATGTGCCAATGTGAAACATGAGACTTTCTCAATGAAGGGGGGGAAACAGAGTCATGTCAGAGATATTAAGGTTGCCTCCTTTTCATGTTCAGGCACATAAGTCCTCTGCTTGCAATGCATGGACATTGTCTGCTGCTCTGAGACTGATTGGAGGAATGATGCTCCCAAGAATATCTCTAGCAGTCTTTGGCCTCTTCATCACAACATGCCAATGCTCAACAACAAATGGTACAGTATAAGCTCAAACATATGATTTAACGATTTGTCATGACCAAGCCTTGAGAAACCCCACAATTATTTGGGAAATATATTTATATATTAGGATGTTTATTGATTCAAACACGGCTTTCATTAAAGGCTTGTTTGAATCCATACTGGAATAAACTTTGTGCAATAGGCTGATCATTTTTTTTTTAAACTTTCCCCTTTGCAGATTCCCCGTTTTCACTCGTGAACAAAGCCACTGGTTTTTGTTTGCTGAAAAGGGTTAGCCGCTGCCTTGACCTACGCTGGACGACTGATGACCGGCTTTATGTTACCACAACTAAAAAATGCCTGGGAGCTCAGGGCAAAAGTATAGGAAGTGAAGTGAGCCTGTATGACTGTGATGACAAGAGCGACCTGCAAAAGTGGGAATGCAGGAATGGAACTCTGCTTGCCCTCAAAAATAATAATTTATTCATTGAGATGAAAGCTGATGAAACAATTGCTCTCTCAAAAACAACAGGACCAAATAACCAGTTCACAATTACAGGGACCTCAAGCGGTGCTTGTACAAGAACATACAGAGGTATAGTATAAAACATATGCTTTTATGTGTAAGTGTGCATTTGTCTATAGCCACTTGACCCAACCTGAAGCCTTTTCTTTTCACCTCCAGAGTTATTTACCATTGAGGGAAATGCATTCGGAAAGATCTGCATGTTTCCCTTCCTTTACAAAGACCGGTGGTATGGAGACTGCACTACATTTGACTCCTCAACAAAGCGACCATGGTGTGCAGTTGAAACAAAATTTGAACGTGAACAGTGGGGATACTGCCCAACCACTTGTGAGTTTGTCAAATTTCAACATCACTGGAGTGAAAATGTAAGAATTATTTGAATTAATTTTTTTTTCTGTCAAAATACAGCCACAGATCACTGGAGAAAAAATCTCATAACAGGAGCATATTACCAGTTGAACATACAGTCATCTCTGACTTGGGGACAAGCTGATACCAGCTGTAAACAGCAGGCTGCCTCCTTGGTCAGTATTGTGGAGCCCAGTGAGCAAGCTTTGATCTCAGGTGAGGTGCCACCTGGTGGATATTTGCCAGAGCTCAAACAGATGCAGCTTTTTGAATTTTAAATGAAATAATCAAGATTTTGGATTACAAATACTTTTGATGTTGCATGAACCTGCACTATATTTTAGTATTTATCTGTGTTATTCCTACCAACTGACTTTTGTAAAGCTGATATTTTAATTCAGGAAAGAAAAACAAGTGCTATTCTTTTTTCGTCCCGCTGTCTCCTAAACACTTGAACACACAGCATTATTGGGAGCAGGGAGAAAAAAACTTTGGATTGGGTTAGTTTTGGACCCAGAACATGGTTGGCAGTGGACTGATGGCAAACCTTTCCGTTATCTGCGATGGGATTCTGGTAAGTCCTCCCTGCAAGGACGAAGTTCCTTTCAGCAATAATCCTCAAAACATCTGAGCGATCTGGAAATTAACTGAAAAGTTGCAGAAAATTACAGTGTTAAGCAAATATAATCTGTTAGCCTAACTCCTGTGACAACTAGACTCTTAGGGTAAAAGGTTTTTCAAGAATTCATGTACGTAAGAAGTACAACAGTCTAAACCTAAAAAAACCAACAACTAAATATTCATTCATGTCTCCAAGTTTCGGCTAATTATTACACATTTTTATCTTTTTAACAACTAATACAGTATTTTCATTTTCTATCCGTCTTTTGTTAGTTTTTCTAAATGCTAAATACTACCAATATTGTTACAAATTACTCAAAGATTTAAAGTACTCCTAAAATTCTTATTGTGCATGATTGGGTAATGTGTGAGTGTTAACCATCATCATTATTATCTTGATTTAGGGAATCCACTTCCTAATCCAGGACACAACTGTGCAATTCTTGACACTGCTGGAGAGCACTCTTGGCAAAGTTCATCCTGTACCAAGAAAATGGGCTACATCTGCTACAAAGATGGGGTCCCACCAGCACCTCCACAAAGTATATAAAAAAATTCTATTCTGTTTTACCGCGATTTGAATATTTCTCTAGATTGCAGTAGTTTCTTGGGGGACATCAGAAGTGAAGTTCTTATATATTTGTTCTTTTCATCATCAGTTGAACAAGGATTTTGCTCAACACCTTGGATTCCCTACAATGGCCACTGTTTTCATCTTCAGCGTAATGCTCAAACATGGTCTGGCGCTCAGAAAGCTTGTCGTGCAGAAGGCGGTGACTTAGCGACCGTCCGAAATGTGGAGGATCAAAGCTTTGTGATCTCTCAGCTTGGATACGGTATGTGGCAATCATATCTCCATGAAATAATGTTAATACAAAACAGATTCCCAACAGCAAATATATTTCATACATTTAACAAGGTGCACATGTGCTGAGATTGAACATATCAGTTTCCAGTTTGTAATTCACTAATAGCATCCTTAAACTCTTTATTGTTGTGGCAGGATATGGTAAACTTTAGGGATATTTTGTGGTTTAAAAAAAGTACACAGGCTAGGTCACAACATCTTTATTTGCATTTAATTTAAATCGTGTTTTTTTAAACTCTAACTAAACTGTCTATCTCACCTAAACCTAATCAAAATGTGTATTCCACCTAATCCAGTTTCTATTTACACCTACTGAGTTTATTCAAGTTTGTCTTTAATTAAAACCAAAATGTTTACTAATACATAAACAGCCAGTGATATATGAATAACAATATATGAATAACAGTTTCACTTCGTAATATCACTGTGAGAGTGCTGTATTCATCCCTATATCATAATTGTTTTTACTCTGGCAAATAATAAAAAAATACTGAATTTTGTATAAAAGACTAATTATTAAGAAAGCCTTAACAGATGAGAATGACATGCACACTTTACACATAATAACTGGCAGCATGACTGTACATTTAGGAGTGACAATAGAGATCATGTCATTCATTCAGCTCTAGCTTGTTGCGAGTCTATGTCAAATATTTCCACGCATGTGTGAGCTGTTGATTTTTTCATATGTTAAAGTACGATTTAGACTATGCCTGTCGCTCTTTACCAGTCTATGAACTGTACAAGTAATTTTCAGTGCAATGGGGAAATTTGAGCTTCTGGCTGATATTTGGTCCATTATTTTTCTGTAGCATCCACTGATGAGCTTTGGATTGGACTGAATGACATTAGGACAGAGGGACTGTTTGATTGGAGTGACCAGTCTCATGTGTCCTTCACCAGCTGGGAATATGGAAAACCAGGACTCTCCACTGATGGAAATGACTGTGTTCTCATCAGGGGAGAGGTAAGACCTTGTGCATATTTATTCATCTATATGTGTTTAGCTAGACAAATCATGCATGGAGGAAGCATAATCCACTACCCCTGATGTATTGATCTTCAAGAAAAAGTTTTGCAAGAAATATTAAACTGTATTTTTTGTGCTGTTTCTAGAGTACATGTTTTACAATACTGATATTTTACATATTTTTCTACCATTTTAACTTAGTTGTGAGCTGCAGAATATTTTCTTCCGACATTTTTCTTCATAGTTTCCACACTGGTTTACAAAGTTGAATGTTATGAAATCAGTATCTTAGGTGTGGTAGACTGGTAAAGTAGATTCACTGTGAGAGAAAACACAACAAGACTCCTTTAGAATTAGAAGGCAATGCATTTACTTCTATAGCCATGTGTCATTCTTACGAAATATCTAAACTTTAAAACCTTTCATGATTTAAAGGTTTTTTGGCAAGTTACAGGCTTTTTGGATGTGATAGTGTTTCACTGCAAATATAAGCACTTTGAGTGCTTAGTATTCTGAGAAATATACCAAAGCACCTTGGAGTAACTGTAATTACAGTGCTTTAAATATTTGAATTTTATCGATTCAGCAATCCAGCCCACAAATCTGCAAGTGTTTACAATGCTTTTGTTCTTGCAGAATGGGAACTGGGCAGATCGGTCATGTGATGAGCAACATGGCTTTATCTGTATGAAGCAAAGTTCCACTGAAAGCACTGGAAATGAACCAGATATAGACATCGGATGTAAAGCTGTGAGTAATAACAAAGCATGATTAAGGTTCAAATTTCACTTTGTGAAATCAGAAGTACATTCTAAAAAACAGATTAAAAATAGATAAATGAAATTTTAATGTACTCCTCAGTTGTGATGTATTTACTCTCCTATAGGGATGGAAAAAACATGGCTCCTACTGCTACTTTGTAGGCACTGAGACAAAGACTTTCAGTCAAGCTAGTGAAGACTGCAAGAGTTCAAACTCATACTTAGCTGATGTTTCAAATGGGTAAGAAAACAACCAGTTCATCTTTGTTATAAATCACATAACGACTTCTTTGGGAAATCCACAAACATGCATGCAGATGCATGTGCTGCACGGTGTATTAAAAATGACAAGAAATCCATGAATTGTATACATTTTTGCAGGGTGGATAATGCCTTCCTTGTCAGCTTGGTGGGGTTGAGACCAGAGAAACACTTCTGGATAGGGCTCTCAAATCAAAAGAATATTGATGTTTTTGAGTGGACCAACTCACCCACAGTAAGGTTCACTCACTGGAATAGTCAAATGCCAGGTATGGATGCATCTGAATTTCTGTCCTTAAATATCAGGAATAAACTGCAGCCCAATAAGTTGCACATGACTATTGCTTTCCTCAATGCCCCAAGGTTACCAGCAGGGTTGTGTTGCCATGACAACTGGGGTTTTGGCTGGACTTTGGGACCTGCTTCCCTGCACCAACAAAGAAAAATATATCTGCAAGTACATGGCGGAGGGGATGGTTCCAACTGCTCCACCACCAACTGTAGCTCCTCCTAAATGTCCAGAGGGTTGGACTCGAGTGGGAACGAGAGCTATGTGCGCTAAGGTACAACCTTCGGTCAGCCTTGAGTGAACTCAAAGAAACTTTGTCTATTGTGGAGTATTTAGCACTGGCACTTTACAGCAATGCGATGTCAGCCAAAATATGCTATAAGTGTGAATGTGAGTGTAACTGGGTCTCTGTGTGTTAGTCCTATGATACACCAGCAACCTGTCAGTTTTAAGAATCTCTTCATTCATTACTATAGGGACTTGTTCTTCGTGTTTTGCATTCTATTTCTCCTTATTCCTCAGGACTCCATTCAGTGTTGTGCTCACAAAATTAAATTAAATTCAATTACCTTCAATTGCATGAACTATCTGCGGTTGAGAAATTTACAGAGTTGTTGTCTTGCGTTTGAAGTTTTTTACAGGTCCTCGCTCAGAAGAAAAAACTTGGTTTGAGGCCAGGGATTACTGCAGGGCCATTGGAGGAGATCTGCTTAGTATCCACAGTTCTACTGAGCTACGACTGTTCAGGTACAGCATGACTTAGTCTACAATAACAACTACTGTTTATAATATCTTCTGTCAATTATTTTCCAGTCTAAATCATACAACCATTAGTTTATCCTAACATAAGATCAAACTCTAGACAATGATCATCTATGTGAAATAATCCTGTTTAAAAATATTCAGCATGCTGGCAAATATGTTTCACATTCACACAACACACCATGTTGGTGTTTTAACCTACTGAAAAAAAGCATTCATATAGTAGTACATTTCACACCTACTTATCTGACCTGTGTTCTATGCCAGCGGTCCCCAACCATTTTTGCGCCATGGACCGGTTTATGCCCGACAATATTTTCACGGACCGGCAAATACAACAAAATACAACTAGTACCGGTACTGAAAAAAAGAAGATTTATTCATAACACACGTGAAAAGACCCAGGAAAACTGAGTTAACGATAAAAACGATAACAAAATAACACTGAAAACCATACATTTCACACCTGAGCCTCAACTCTCGCGGCCCGGTACCAAACGACTCACGGACCGGTACCGGTCCGAGGCCCGGGGGTTGGGGACTGCTGTTCTATGCAGTAGCAAATTCAGATGCACCATATTTTCGACTTTCATCACCTGAAGTACCACATCTTGCCTGTAGGGTGAAAACATATGGACATGTTTTAGCTTCTCTGATGAGACTGACACCATCAGCTAACTGCAAATGTAGCTAAAATGTTTGTTTTAGTACTTTAGAAGACAGTGAGAGTGTCGTTTCCTTTTTTGTACAGCAGAGGTGGAAAAGCCTGGATTGGACTTCACATTCCTGAAACAAGCACTGGTTATGCCTGGACTGATGGAAGCCCAGTAAGTTAATGGCATTCTGTCTTGTTGTTCTTTTGTTTTTGGTCATTAAATCATTAAATGTTATTTTAATAAAATATTTACAATAACTCAACATAATATTGTTGTTTCTTATTGTTAACAGCTAGATTTCCAGCACTGGCAGGAAGGAGAACCAAACAATTTCAACAATGCAGAATCTTGTGCTGAGTTTGTGATACATAACTGGGATGAAGAAGGTTCCTGGAATGATTTGAACTGTGACAGTTACAATGACTGGTTGTGTCAGATCCGTGCAGGTATAGCTGACTGAATGCTGACCAGTCTCACTGCTGGAACATTTTTTAACTAACTTTCATATGCATGTTCTTTTCTGTCTTCAGGGGTGAAGAGATTATTGTTAATATTCACAATATTATGTAATCTCTTCTTGCCATGATTTCAGTGTATATGATTGGAGAAATTGTCACTATTGTTGAAACACATTTCGGACTAAAAATAATGACTGCATTACAGTATACCGCAGTGTAGACTACAGAGTGCCACCACATGTTTACTGTTGCTTTCCTTTCCTTTGAATAAAATGGACTTCTGCCTGTGTTCTTGCAGGAGTGACTCCAAAACTACCTTCGAATAATACTGTGGTGGGTAAGTTCACATGAATTAACCTCGAACATAACCTGGGTGAATAACACATATGCACTACAACACCTGGATTGCGGATTTGCCCGAGTACAGCTTCATCCTTTTTGGTGGTTTTGCATTGTAGCTCAAACTTGCAATTTCCCAAAGCAGTCTGATAAATCATTTTCATTGTTACCTTTCAAATAAACAAACTTATACTATAAATTATAAACAGTATTATTTATAGAGCATGAGACCAATATAGAAAAAAACTAAGGAGGAAAAAGAGAGGTTATATTTAAAGATAAGGACTGCTTAGTGACACCTCATAAACTGATTGCATGTAATCATCAGCATTTTTACATATTGGATTTGTATATGATGTGTTTTGATAATTTCTATCCATTTTCATATTGTGGTGCTCATGATCAGTGTTATGTAAATGTAGTATATTAATTTGCATTTAAGCATGTGATGCTTAGATTAAGCATCCACCTTTTTACCATCTTTAAAGGTCTAGTATAAGGACAATATACAGTATACTGTTAGTATAGCTGTGAAACATCTGCATACATCATGTTGAATTCAGTTTTGTAAATCCACAAAGTGATGAAGTGATCAAACCCTGCACATTAAGAAAATCTACTGGAGAACACATTAAAAATGATTTGGTGGCGGTGTGGAGGCAAAGTCACGCTCTACGATGTGGACAACTGAAAATGGTTATTTTAAAAAATGTTTTTTAACTACTTGTGTCCTACATAAAAGATTTAAGCAAAGTTCATTCATTAGGTTTAGATTTAGATTGGAATAACATTTGTGTTCTCATGTAATAATAATATTATTTTAGAATGACATTAATACAGGACAAGGTTCAGTTACCTTTGCATAAAAAATAGGTGGTAGAATTGAGTGAGTGTGTAATGAACTTGAATTAGTATTGAATTAGTACTTTTTTAAACAAATATATCTGTACTTCTACTTAGGTAAAGAATGCTTGTACTTTACTTGCTCCACCTCTGATAATGACATCACTGAAGAAATTAATGAATAAAAATAAATTTTAGTTGAAAAATATTTGGGATGATCTGAATATCAATGGGATAGATTTTACATTTTATACCTTTTTATTCATTGTGTACCTTCAGCCCTCTTCAAAAGTCTGATGTGGCCACCAGGTGTTTTAGTTGCTCTTTTTTAAGGTTGGGTCTCCTTGGACAAACGGATCTGACCAAAAGATACGGTAGAACACTGACAAGTCTATCAATGTATTTCTAAACTTTTACAGAATTCAATACCACTTCGGATGGTTGGCTGGAGCGGAGAGGGAATCAGTATTATATTAACAGAATGTCATTGCCCATGGAAGATGCTCGTCACTTCTGTCAGCAGAGGCACAGTGACCTAGTATCTATAACCAGTAAAGAGGAAAATGTTTTCTTATGGAAACAGGTAAATATCTATGTATTTAATTTGTACTTTTTTGTTTTGTTTTATTAATACATTAGAGCAGGCTGAAAACATTAGAATGTGACACACACTAGAGATAATTGTGCATATTTATGTGTGTGTCTACAGATATCCAGAAGCTATGGGCGTTATTATATAGGTTTGTCTGTGGATCTTGATGGGTCAGCTTGGTGAGTAATCATTAATGCCATAAGGGGAAAAGGGAGCTTTTAGGCCAACTCATGATCATTGATAAGAAGTGCATTTCCTATTAGATTTGTAATGAGGTACATTTCCTTTTTTTACTGGTTAAGTTTCAGATATCAGTTCAAAAGACCTGTCATTTGATCTAAAGAAGATTTTTCTTTTTTAGCCATCAGTGAACTAAATCCATGTGGTCACATGTTTGTTTATTTATTATGGAATAGAAATAGTGACACAATAATACAAAAAAGTCTAACATCAAATGATGAATATTTTCATATGATACAATTAAAAATTTAACTATAATTCTCTACATTAAGGTGGATGGATGGTACTCCAGTGTCATTTCGAAGATGGGATGAAGATCAACCCAGCACTAGTGGCTTTGATCAAAACTGTGTTTTTATGTCTTATCACATGGGTGAGTAAAAATGCGCTGAACACTTGAATTGAAAAATGATCAAATCTAGACACGATGTCTGGATTAAAATAATTGATTAATGGATTAGGATAATGTTCCTAATGAATTCTTTGTTGATCTTATAGGCTTCTGGAAGACTTCTAATTGTGGAAGAGAGCTTTCATTTATTTGCAAGCGAGGAAGGATGTTGCCAACCAACACCACTGCAGCCCCAACAGTTGCTCCAACAGGTGGCTGCCCAAAAAGATGGATGAAATTTGGCACAAAGGTCAGACTTTTAAACCTTTATTTCAGAGAAGTTTTTAAAATGACAACATTACAGCAGAGGCCCACCATCAAATTTTACATTGAGCCTTTATTTGGCTTCAAATGTCAAGTTGATTCTTTAAAATGTAATAAATAACTAAATAAAACACGAATGAAGGAGAATGAAGGAAGCAGAAAGAAGTTTGTCGAATGTGGAGTGGCATTAAAAAAAGTCAGCAAATTTTGACCCCTCCATCTGTGAACTTCATTCAGTACTAATTATAAATGAGATAATCTAAAATACACAGGTTTCAGTGGTGAAATGTTTCACCTAAGTCTTATCATAATAATAATTACATTTCTTTTCTGCAGTGTTACAACATCTTTAACGAAAGACAGATCACCTGGGAATATGCACGGTCAAAATGCACTGAGGTGGGAGGCAATTTAGTCTCTATACCTACAAGAAGTGTGCAAGGTTAGTTCTAATTGTGTTTTATTCAGATTTGGATTTAAACTTTAACTCTTTCCCCTTAAATACCTACTAGGTGTATCCCTCGCTTCTCTTTTCTGGACTCAATGGTTTCTGTTATATTTTAGGTCTGCTTCCAGAACAAAATTACTGGGTGTGCTTCTGAAGTTAGTGTGGTTGATCTCTGTCTGTACTTAGCGCTACATATTTCTAGGGCTAAGTTTGGAAAAACCTGAAGCCCATTCAAATGGTTGTCAAACCACATTTTTATTGGTGTATATTAAAGTTTCAAAACTCCTCATTAAGGGCACAGGGGAGGTCATTATGGAGGAAAGAGTTAAACATATCATACAGCTTATGAAGATGTGAATACTTTACCAAAAATGGAAAAGAAACCAGAAACCTACATTTAATATCTTGTGTCTGTATCTTCAATTTTCAGCATTTTTGATCACCAGAATGGTTCATACAGCATCTACAGACCTGTGGATTGGTTTGAATGCTATAAGCCAAGAGGGATTTTTCTGGACCGATGGGAAAAAAAGGCAATACACCAACTGGGGCTATTCTGTGAGTTCATTCAATCTCATACAGGTGTAATGTGAAGCTAATCCTTTGTACAACTATCAGTAGCTGTATTGTCATTTTACAGCTTGCTTTTGTATCATGATTACACATTTTCAATTAAATTAAATTCAATTTCATTTATATAGCACCAAATCACAGCAGCAGTCGCCAATGCGCATTTCTTGTCGAGTTACAGATATATATTCAGTGATGCTATGATTTAATTAAACTACACAGAATTTAGTGTCAAGCTTTGACCAGCTTTTTAGTTTTCACTGACATTTTAAAGAAATATTTACACTAGCAAATTTTGATTTTAGAGACGTGAACAACCTTTTGGGATGGTGTATCCGAGATGGAATGAGGTAAACATAGTTTGAGCTATGCGTTGTGATTTGACAGGTAGGTGTGGTTATAGATGTGTCCAGTGATGCTGGGCTTGGTCAGAGGTCAATGTCAAACTCCAACCAAAAGTTTTTCTTCTCCCAGGAATAGAAATGTTAATGAAATATTAATAATGATCATTTTGATTGCAGAGACATCATCGTCATCCTGGCAGCTTTTATAAAAGATGGAATGAGGTAATGATTTTCCACATTAATTTAAGCATGTCACCACTGTTTGTATGCAACAAGTAATCTTAATTAATTGCGCATTTTAAAAAAATAGATTTTAAAATCATGTTCACTTACCATTCTTACCCAGGATGAATGTGTTGTGATGAATGGAAATCCTGTTTTTGGGATTGGTAAATGGACAACAAGGTCTTGCAATGACACCAATGGATATATATGTCAACGGAATCTTGGTGAGTCCATCTCTTTGGTGTAGACATTTTCAGAGGCTAAACATAGTTCATAAAATATTTTGTTCTCCTGCAGTCTCACCATTTAGGGGTAGGGTTAAGTAGCATTTGATCCAAATTCAAAAAGAGCTTCATTTCAAACATAAGCTTAATTCTATTATTATATTTACATTTGAGCAAACAGGTGAAAATGTTATAGAGAGGTTGATGTAAACCTAGCTCTAACCCATAATGAGGTCGTTGGAGATCTGGTGGATGTTAAGAAGTTAAATTGTTGTTGTACAACTGCATTCCAGTGGTAGTTCACTCATATCAATGTGTTTGGCCTGCTATGGGGAACAAATTTGCAAATAATCCACAACAAAATAAATAAAAAGTCCTGTTGACAGTTATAATGTTTGCAGTGGTGCAAAAAATGTGAATTAATCTCATGTCTAATTTTATTTTTGCTCTTAACAGATCCAAACATTAAAGCACCACCTGAAACCATAGATTATAATATCTATGAGACTCTGGGAAATGACAGCATCAAGATTATTACTCAAAATCTGACCTGGGATGAAGCCCAGAAACGTTGTAACGCTGATAAAGCCAACTTGGCCAGCCTGCGAAATGACTGGACACAGGCATATGTTGAGCTACTGGCTATAAAACTCAATAGTCCTCTTTGGATTGGACTTAACAAACAGCAGGTACAAGGCTGCAACTATCCAAAATTACTATAAAAACTATAAAAAGTACTATAAAATGATTAAACATACAGGACACCTGAAAATAAGAGTTATACAGGGTTCTTGGTTATGTATGAAATAAGATGTGATAAAGTTATTAAATGACTTATTTTGGAAAATCATGACAAATGGCATATGACCCAAGATTGCTGACTTCTTAATAAAATCTAAATTTGTAATCTATATAACACATATTGGCAGAAGCAGTTTTAACAAGGTATGACAGACAGAAAACATCCCCCACAAAACTATTGATTTGACAACATCTGATCCATGTTTATTTTCAGACTGGAGGTTATTTTAAATATATTGATGGTTGGCATCTGAACAATGCCGGCTGGGCTGAATTTGAACCAAGCAGGGACAAACCTTGTGTGTATGTAGATGTGGATGGAAAATGGAGAACCGCTTTCTGCAATGTGACCATAAAAAGTGCCTGTATGCAGTCTACAGGTATGTTTTAACAAGTTAATGATTTTTCCTACATCTTTGGCATCTTGATTTAACGTCTTAACGTCTATAGTAGATATCACTAAATTGCCAACTGCTAGGTAACTGGCCAATGTCAAGCAATCTCTGCTTATTAATGTCTTTTGAAGGATGTAGTTAAAAGTAAAAGGCAGGATTTTCAGTGCTCTGTGTTCTGATCATGTGAGAGTAACGAGAACAGAACTTTGATGGCCTGTGAGTGTTTGAGACCCATTACTGTCCATTAAATAAGAGCTATTTCAGAGGGCTTTTTTTCCTTAGCTGGCTGTTGGTCAGCTCAAGTGTTCTTCTTTTATTATTTACATTAATTTACAGTAACAGACATCGCAGAACATTTTGATCCCAGGAGATAACCGTTTCACCAAGTCACAGTAAAACATTTTGTGATTCATTTAGCATTATTGCTTCTATTCTTCACAGAAGTGGCACCAACTGAGTCTACAATATTTCCTGGAAATTGTCCTGAAGATACAGATCTAGAGTACCAACAGAGCTACACATGGCTGCCGTATAGGGGTTATTGTTATTTGTTTATCCAAGATGAAATTGAATGGGCAGATGCAGCTAGCAGCTGTGTAAGGCATGGTAAGATACATGCTGAATAATTTTAGAATCACTATACAGTAAATATGTGGTGTTAAGATTAAGCCTAATATGTGTTTTCAACATTGTCACAACCAGTCGATTTTTGTTTTTAAGGTGGAGTGTTGGCTAGCATTGAAGATCCCTCCGAGCAAGAATTCATCAAAGGCTTTGTGACAAATTTCAAAGACAGACACAACTCTTTCTGGATTGGTCTGTTTAAAACTCATAAAGGTATGGCCACAATAAGTGTAATCTTTTAGTGTTTATAGAAAAACTATTTAATGAAACCATATTAACAATTTATTGACTTAATTGAAGAAACAAACTATAACCTCAAATCACCACTAAATCAGTACTATTTATCATGTCTTTCTTGTCAGCAACTGTGTAGCCACATTCAGTGGGGTATTGGTAAGTTAGCAAAGTGAAAAAAGGAATACATTTCTGTTTGTCTCTAGGGACATGGCTTTGGTTGGATAGAACTATTTTGGACTTCACTAACTGGGCTCCAGATGAGCCGGATTCTGATTTTGGAGCAATCCAAACCTCAGATGGGACTTGGAACTCGGGTCGCAGATGGCACGACAGACCATATATCTGTAAAACAGCCAAAGGTAAAATAATTGTGTCAATGTGAAGTAATTATGTCCAATTATTTATTGAAGGAAAATGTTAACAAATGCACAACTATAATAATTTATAATTAATAATACTCATTACATGTGTTAGTAAGCAGCTTGTTAGTACACCACACAGATGCCATCTACCATTGGATATCTTACATCTTACTTTACATTAATGCTAAAGTTTTATGGTTTACAGGAAAGAGAGAGCTAATAAACCTATATGTTTGCATTTTTACCATTTCTTTCTTTCTTTTCCTTTGTTTTTTTGCCACTAGTGATGCCTCAAACTTCAGGATCAAAAGATGGTAAGTTCTGTCTTTATATGGCTCTGTGTTGTTTAATTATATAACAATACTACTACTAATAATGTGAAAAATTTAGTGAAAATTTGTGAAAATTTAAATCATGTTTTAAAATCTGAACTTACTTGCTTAAACCTGCAGGATCTAATGGACATCAAGCTCATCAAACTCGTGTCCACACTACTGTGGTAGTTGTACTGGTGATTACGATCACTTCCACACTGGTAGTCATTGCATTTTTTCTCTACAAGAAGTCTCCTGGTCCCTTCCCCACATTTGAAAATCCACTGTACTTCAATGGTGAACGATCGCAACCTGATGTGCTTGACACCAATAAACTAATAGAGAATGCAGAAAACCCTGAACCAGTTTTAACTTTGTGATTTTAGGTAGGGTCTATTAGGATATAAACTTTACTGTGTTCCAAACTGATGCATTACACTTTGATGATTTATTATTTGGTTGTTTACTATATGCAGTAAATACATGCAATTATTTAACAGTAAGTCACTAAATGTGAGTTTCAGTGGAGGTGGCAACCTCATTACAGACCAATTTAAGCTCTAGGATGTCTGTATGAATAGGATTATTATTTGATTTGTGTCAAGGATATCAACAATTATCAAACACTCAGGTGAAGAAACAACACTTAGACACTTGGAGAGATTTTTAACGTGCACAGGTGAGAGCTCAACAGAGAGACTCACACCGAGTCGCAGGCGTTTCCTTTATTTAACAAGCATAGCAGTTCCTGTTTTTCATGTTCGTGTGTGGGTGTTGTTTGTGAGTCAACTTCTGCAAAACTCAGCTTTGTGTGTTAATCTCATGTGGTCTTATCATATGGCTTATATGGCTTACAGTTTACTGTTTAGAAGCTGGGCTGCACAGTGTAAAATATGAACACTATTATTATGAAGCGAAGCATAAAAACATTTCCCCATAACAATTTGTTTTTCTTTATCCCTGTGATTGAATGTATATAATTATTACATGTGGTGCTTAGATCCACTAGTAGCTGTTCATTGCTTGTAGTCTTGAAATACATAAATGTACTGCCTGTTGGTATTGAATAAACATTAAACTTGGCAATAAACAATTAATGTGTATTTAGTATGTTTAGTTGCTATCTTTCTAGTTTTCAAAAGCAAAATTTGTGTTAGCGTTACCGTGTAATTTGTTTTTTCTCAGGCACACTTTGGACTAACAGATCTGATCTACATATGAGACAGCATGGTGTTGGTGATTAGTACCTCTTGCCTCTTGCAAGTAGTTCATGGGTGTAAAGTCAGGGCTTTCTGTGTGGTGTTCGCATGTGTCTGAGAGGTTTCCTCCCACAACCCAAAGGCATGCATGAAGTTAGGTTAACTGGTGATTCTAAACTGACAGTAGGTGTGAATGTTAGCATTGGATGACAGTGGGGTACAGATTGGACAGGTTGTTGGAAAAACAGACAAACACACACACAATAAACTAATGCTTTTGTGCCTGACACTGAATAAGACCAAATGCAGACTAAATCCCAAATTTTGTGCCTAACCTGTCAAGTAAATTCTGATTTAAAATTACAGTCGAAAAACCTGCAAAAATAACTGTCTGTGCCTTTCAGTCATTGTAGAACATCTGACTAATATTGTTCGTTAATGCCGCTTTCATATACCTGTTCCGAGTAGTACGCTGCGCACGCATGCAGCGAGACAGCGCGAAGGTGAGACCCCCCCCCCCAGTGTTGCCAACTTAGCGACTTTTTTTCTAAAAAGCGACTAGCGACAAATCTGGTGACTTTTTCTGGTGTTATTGGAGACTTATTTATGACGACGCAGGGTTGGAATTGTGACATTAAAAAAAACAATAATTGCTAATAGAAATTTAATTTGTAGTTCTAAATAAACTCTAAATGCATTTAGGATGTCTTTTACTCACTTTATGTCTCTTCCACGATGTTATTTCTCTCTCCAACAACGTAGGTTACAATTACATTAGCATAACCAAGTATGCAAATTAGGCGATGACATCATTTAGCAACTTCTAGCGACTTTTAGGACAACCAATAGTGATTTTCCTACCCCCCCCCCCCCCCCCCCCCCACCCCGGGTGTGGAGTTGCTTACATGTAATGTCTGCTCAGTTACGTAGTAAAACAAAGCTTGCTAGTAATCCCGAATCCAGAGTCATTGCTGAACATCAAACATGGTGTTAGAAGTTGTGGTTTGGTCGTGTGCTACAGCCCTTTGGCCTTACCAGAGTGGTAAGGCCAAAGTTTTCTCAGCACTTTGCAGACGAAGCAAGCAAGTAACCAGCTAGCGTTGCTCGGCTATCGCAGGAAAGGCTATTAAGCATCAATGACCATGTCAGACGGATTCCGTAGACCAGAACCATTGGTGTTCAGTGGAAACATCGCCGAGAAGTGGCGTGTTTTCGAGCAGGAATACGACATATTCATAGCATAAGGATGCTTGAACTAGAGCGTTCATCCTGCTAAACCAGGCCAGCTCTGAAGCCATCGAGCGGGAGCGCGCCTTCGTTTATGCACCCGCTGTGCACGCGGGGGAAGGAGAACACAGACAATTGGTGAGAGAAGCAGAATTGAGAGAAGACCCGGAATGTCTCAAGCGCAAATTTCGGAAACTGTGTAATTCCCAAACAAACATAACAATGGAAAGGCACAAGTTTAACGCTAGAAACCAACGACCAGATGAAACAATTGAGTCTTACATGAGTGACTTGAAAAAGAAGGCAGGCAGTTGCAGATTTGGCCAGCTTAAAGACGAGCTCATCAGAGACAGACTCCTTTGTGGCATAAATAGTGACAGCATGAGAAAGCAACTGCTGCGCAACAGTGACCTAACTTTGAGCAAAGCAATTGAAATGTGCCAGATATTCGAGCAGACAGATCAACATACAAAAGCTCTAGCAGCTCCAAAACAAATGGCAGCAAAGGTGGACACCTTGCATCACATAATAAAGAAAAAACATCTACACAAAGTCAAGACGAGGACAGGCAATGAGCGGCGTGCAACACAACAAGAACAGAGGCCCGCTCACACAATAACAAACTGCAACAACTGCGGGGGCAGCCACGGGGCAAAAAGAGACAAATGCCAAGCATAATAATTTCAACATGTTGTCGCCTCTTGGCCAGGACTCCCTTGAAAAAGAGGTTCTTAATCTCAATGGGACTTTTCCTGGTTAAATAAAGGTTAATAATAATAAACATGGCCAGCAATGCCATAAGTGCCAAAAATGGAATCACTTCCAGAAATACTGCAAGTCATCACACACACGGCAATTCAAAAAGAGACCAATTAACCACACTGAGATGCAACCGCCTAGCAGCGATGAGGAAATGTTCTATGTGATTGGAATTAATATAGACACTATAAATCCCTGCTTTCCATACAAGAATGAAATTTTCACCACAGTGTATATTAATGGAAAATCCATAGAGCTCAAGGTGGACACTGGCGCCAAATGTAATGTCATGCCAGCTGACCTTTTTGAACATCTGAGACAAGATGAAAAACTCCTGCCATCACAGAAAACTAAACTGGTGGCATATGGAGGTGAGGAAATCAAACAGCTGGCACAGCAACACTCTCATGCCACTCTGCAGCCAAGGAATACACTCTGCAGTGGGGTAGTGAAACGGGACGTACAACCCCTACTTGGCTTACCAGGCTCACTCCGCTTACAATTAATCACACTGAACAAAGAAGTCCACCATGTAGCCATGGATGTGGAAAGCACCTTTTCAGAAAAGATCTTCTTAGAGTATTCAGATCTCTTCGAAGATAAACTTAGTAAGCTTCTGGTTACCTATTCCATGAAAATAGACCGAGAAGTCACACCAGTAGTAAAGCCTGCACGTAAAATACCAGTTCCAATGCAAGACAAGGTTAAAGCAGAATTAACCCGCATGGTCAAGTTGGGTGTGATCACCCCTGTCACCGAGCCAACAGAATGGGTGTTGTCTATGGTGGCAACCCACCAAAAAAATTCAGATGACATCAGACTCTGCATCGATCCAAGAGATCTAAACAAAGCGCAGAAATGCCCGCATCACCCTATGCATACTATAGAGGAGGTAGCCGCCCAAATGGCTAACTCCAAAGTCTTTTCTGTCCTGGATGCAAAATGCTCCTTTTGGCAGGTAATGCTTGAACACAAATCATCCATGCTCATGACTTTAAGCTCTCCGTTTGGCAGATTCCGCTTTCTCAGAATGCCGTATGGAATAAACTCAGCCAGCGAGGTGTTCCAGCATGCAATGGAGCAGATCTTTGCTGGATACCCCTGTGCTGTCATCGTCGACGACATAATCATCGGCGGAAGAGATATGAAAGAGCATGAACAGAATCTCAGAAAGGTACTTGACTGTGCAAGGGAAGTCAAGCTGAGACTCAACCCCCTAAAGTGCAAATTCCTTCTCAAAGAAGTCTGTTATGTTGGTCATGTCTTCACAAGCAAGGGCTTAAAGCCTGACCCAGCAAAGACTAAAGCAATTAAGGAGATGCTCACACCTGAAAATGTCACAGGTCTCCAACGCTTCTTAGGGATGATTAATTATCTAGGAATGTTCATTCCTAATTTCAGTGAGCTCTCAGCCCCACTTCGGGAGCTAACGTGAAAAGACATTCAGTGGTGCTGGCTGAAGCACCATCAGGATGCATTCAATGCTTTAAAACAGAGCCTAACCAGTCCACCCACTCTCAGCTACTACAACATCCAGAAACCCGTCACGCTAACGTGTGATGCCTCAGAGTATGGACTCGGGGCTGCATGCCTCCAGGAAGGCGCCCCAATCGCCTACTCCTCTCGTACTCTGACACAGACCGAAATGCGCTATGCGCAGATCGAGAAGGAACTTCTTGCAGTTGTATTTGCATGTTCCAAGTTCAATGATTACATCTATGGAAAGCAAATCCAAATCGAAACCGATCACCAGCCGTTAGTCACTATCCTGAACAAGCCCATACACTCAGCTCCAGCCAAACTGCAGCGCACGATGCTCAGACTGCTCAGACTGATGCTCAGACTTTCATACTGCATGTATGAAAGTACAACTTTCAGATGGTGTACAAAAAAGGCTCACAGATGTACCTCGCCGACACTTTGTCCCATGCTCCCACAACCTTGACAGGTCAGCACAGTGATGAAACAGCAGACTACGAGATCATGTCGATCCAACAAATCTCTTCTTCTAGGCTGACCCAGCTGAAGGAACACACTGCCTCTGATCCAGAGCTACAGAAACTGAGAAATGTCACAATGAGTGGCCTTGCAGACAAACTCAGCTGCCCACAGAAATTCGTCAATACCACCCATATCGAGATGAACTCACCCTAGAAGATGGCATTGTCATGAAAGGCCCCAAAGTCTTTGCAAAAGGGCCCGTGGTATCGTGTTTTGGCCCACAATGACTGAAGATATAGAGCAAGAAACAACTGTGTGTCCAGTGTGCAACAGCACCAGGCCACATCAACAGAAGGAGCCACTCAAGCTACATCCAGTGCTGGAGTTACCCTGGTCAACCGTCGCCACTGACATCTTTGAGTGGAATGGTCAACATCACCTGGTTGTAGTTGACTCTTACTCAGGTTGGTTCGAGGTAGGACTGGGCCATATTATACCATTCACGGTAATACCGCTACAATGTTAGGCAACGATAAGAAAATGAAATATCGC